AATTTAGGTTTTTTGTAATAAAGTTTCTACTATGGCATTATATTAATAAAAAAAAAAAAAAAAAAAAAAAAAAAAAATTTATTATAATTCAGCGAGTAATGCATATAAAGATCTTATGTATATTATTCAACATCTTAACTTTCACCCTGAACATATAATTAATAATATTAGACGATTAAAGTCATTATGTAATCGACTCTCTCTCCAAACAATAAAGTGTCATCAAGTACCAATCCAGAACATGAAGACATCATCAACGTCCACACCATTCAAGAATTTCTATACTATATCAATAAGCGAGCATATTAGAAGAATCTTGGGTAATAAAAGTTTACGATCACAGATGTACTTTGGGCCTGGGATCGAAGCCAAAACAAAATCTGAGTTTTGGCACAGAAATATCTGGCAGGAATCACCCCTTTTCAGCCCATCATCGATACGAATAGATCATAGTAAAGGCTATAAAATAATGGTGTATGTATATTTGCTAGCAAATCTTGAATTTTTATAGAATTAATTTGTTGCCCAACTATACCCCAGAAACACATTTTATTAATTATCTTTGTTAAACCAATTATATTTATTCAAATATTTATCTCTGAATATTGACAATATATTTTTTACCGTATAAGCACGCAGGGTGTAATTTTGTATTTTGGCCTAAATTAAGCCTATTATTCAAAATAATTTCGCGCTTATATAGTAAGTAGCAATTGCTTTGGGTGTTCTTAATTCATTTGGTTTGCCAGCAAGCATAATTTAAAAAATTTTTATTAACTATAATTAAAATATTATTTAGAATTATATTTAATAGAATCTTTCATTAAATATAAGGATGAAGAAACAAGAATAGGAAGAATTTTAGCTATAGTCTCAACTTCGAATGGTATCAAATTGAAGATTCAACATCTTTATTTTGGTACCGAATTACCAAGGATATTTGCAAGCTCAATACGAAAAGAGTGATTAAGAAATGGGAAGTTGTGGCTAAGCGAAATAACATACTTGACTGATCCATTTAATGTTATTGAACCTGTTACAGTTTGGCTTCAAGATACTCCAGAGTTATCTAATTTTCAATTTTATGTGAAAGAAATTTTATATTGTCATGAAGGCCGGTAGAAGATAAGAGATTGCAGACTGAGACATCTTCATCCAATTGAATATACTAAAATTCCAATATTAGCTTCTCATAATATGCCTATATTAACAATTATGTTGGACATTTATCACAATGACTTTGGTATATTCCGTAACATGTATCATTCCTTGGGTGGAATTATAATAAATTAAATTATTATATATATATATATATAGTATATAATTAATTATGCAAAAATATAGCGATAAATATACATAAATAATAAAATCTCTAATTAATACATACTGATCATATGCTTAGTGACCCAAGTAAAAAATGACATCTCCGTGAAGTTTTTAAAATACGGGCCGTACTCTCTGGGCAGTACCTGAAAATCAATTCCACTATCTACTATAGTTCATATAGATTCTGTTCTTACTTCTGATTGTAGTTCTATTTCTTCCATAATTGTTGACTGGTCACAGCTATTCAAAGAATCCGATATGCTACTTAATGTATCCGTATCTGATGTGCTATTTAAAGTATTCGATTTGCTACTCAACATATCTGAAGCCATAGAAAAGCTGCATTCAAAATCACTATTAACATGCTGACTTTCTTCTGAAAAATTTTCTTGTAGGTTTTGGTCACTATAATCCTCATTATTTACTGAGTTCAACAAAGTTTGGCTTCTAATATCTTGTGAAGTATGATATGTTCATGGTTGTGCAAATTCTTTTTGTATTTGGCTGGAACTCTTATGTGCGATACGTTTTCATAATACAATTTTTTGAGTCACTTTTTTTGCTTTTTTGGTTCGTACCTGGTTCATTTTTTATATTGACTATATGATAAAATATTAATTATAAGTTGCCAATATTAAAGTATTTGGCTGTAGTTTTTAGATGACAAATAATAAAAAGTTGAAAATGAAAATATTAATTTATATTAGTAATTGTTTAAGGCAAAAAGACAAAAAAAAGTTTATGAGATGGAAATATATAATTTGGACGATGGTTTAAGGCAAAAGTTGAAAGAAAAAAGATGAAAAAAGTCTATAATATGAAAATATTTAATTTATAATCTTTGGGTGATAGCACGTATTAGGGAGAAGAGAAAAATTAAAAAAAAAGTTAATGAGAATTTGCTTTTATATTTATTCTTTCTTGGAGCGGAGTTTGATCATTATTATTAGCATTGTAAATTACATTTTAAATTTTAACATTCTAGATTTCAATGTTCTCAAATAACTTTCAAAATTAAATTTTTACTAAGTAACTCTTAATATTATACATTATTGAATATTATTATAAT